GTCGTCTCTGGTTTTGAAATCGATATTAAATTTTGCTTGCCCTACATTATGTTTTTATATTTTTTTTCGTTAAGGTGATTGAAGAAGACTCAGAAAGGCGATTTTTATTAAAGTAATCTTCCAAATGCTATGTGGGTCATTACAACCACGGGGAGTGCGGTAAAAAGCGTTGCCTATCGAAAAACTTCCTATTGCCTACAGATACATGATACAAAAAGAAGGTAGTTTCATTTCAAAATTTCTCACAAAAAATAAGTTTTTGAAGTTTCATAATTTTGACAAAATTGTGAGCTATCTTGCCTTAACAACGATATATACATAGTGCAGCGAATTAAAATACAGCGGCTCTGCAGACTTGGCCATGTCGTTTCAATGGACTCCGACGCTCCAGCTCTGAAAGTATTGAACTCGGAACCTGCTGGTGGTAGCAGAGGAAGAGAAAGGCCCCCACTGCGATGTAAAGAGTAAGTGGAAAATAACTTGGCTTCACTTTACATTTCCAANTTCTGTTTATCGATTTTCTAATCGATTTAGCTACCAATATTATTATCGATTTTGCTATCGAAATTTTTATAGAATTTGGCATAGATTTTGTTATCGATATTTTATCGATTTTGTCATCGGTTATTTACCGATTTTGTTATCGATTATTTGCCGATTATTTATCGATTTTTTGGATATTTTTATCGACTTCGTTATGGATATTTTAATCGATATTTTTATCCATTTTCTAATCGATGTTTGCTATTGATATTTTTATCGATATTCTTGTCGATCTTTTTATCGATTTTCTAATCGATTTTGCTACCAATGTTATTATCAATTTTGCTATCGAAATTTGTTATCGATATTTGTATCGGTTTTGTTATCGATATTTTATTGGATATTATTATAATACAAAATAACATAAATGTAATTAGAACGAACAGGGGTAGAGGTAGGGATCTAGATAGAAAAAAGACAAAAAATATAACCTTAAGCAAAAGCAGATGTATGTATTATGTACGTATATTGGTTATGAGACAAAATAGATATGTAATGTAAGTTTCACTTCTCCAGTGTGGCCCAGGCGCACTTGCTTTTTTATTTTTTCGTTGAAGGTGTTGCTCATTTTCTTAATATCATCGAACATGCTTCGTATGGAAGAAAATAAGTGGCACTATCAACAAAAAAAAATCTAAAAAATCAACGCTAAGTCCCAGCGACTTCATACTTGCACTTTGTGACACTAAAATTGGCTATGGGCTATAAAAAAGAACCCAAATTTACCAGACGCCTTACTGGATCCGCCATATCGAAATTTCGAATCATTTCTTTAAGCCTTAGAGTTTTGGCCGCACTTTTGAATTTCGGCCGCACTGTGCCCCGGTACGGCATTTGACCCAGTGTAAAAGTATGACAAATCACTCGATACGATATTCGTGTACCGAGTTTAATGTGCTAGAACTTGAACTATTTTTGTGATTGCTGTTTTTGACCCTCCTTACAAAAACTAAAAAATTTTCAAGGTCAAACTTATTTTATTTCAGCAAAGGGAAGAACACATAAAATAAATTTGAATTCAACGGTGTAATGAGCCAGCCAGAATTAGTCCTTTCCGTTCGATCGGTCAATGCTTTCGCTAGAAACCATGTACGTAATGCTTATAAAAGTAGAGTAGAATTATTTTCACCCGACAGAAATCTCATTCTCGGCAAAGTTGGCGCACTCAATAGAAAAACGAAACGAAAAATTTATTCAGCTGTTAGTTGCGTTCATACTTTCGAGCAACGGACGGAACGTATCCGTTCTGAGGGGCCTGTAGTATATTTTATTTATTTATTTTTCTTTTTCCTTCAATGCGAATAGCATTGCGGTGTATGAGCCAGCTGTTCTAAAAATCTGTGAATAAAGTAGAGTAGAGCAATTTATTAGAAAAAAAAAAAATCAGATTAATATGCAAGTAGAATATTTCAACAGAGTTTTTACCCATACAAGTAGACTACGGTTTGCTGTAAAGAAGTAGCCCGTCAAAACTAGAGCACGTTGCGAGCGTATCAATGGTGTGAGATATAAGCGCGAATGCTTTGGCGGTAACTTGTGCCATGGTATGAGCAAATAAATACTTTCACATAATTTCTCGCACTGCAAAATATGCCAGATATCGATAAAAATTACTCCATTACAATATAAATACTTATTCACATCTTAAAGGACTAACTACCTCATTTTGCACCTTCTCACCACCAAAACAATAAATCAATAACTGTAACACAATGGACGACAACAGCAGACACATAAAGGGCACATTAGCTGGATCCGTTATATAAGTAAATTGATAGGCGAGGAAGCAGATAGGCAGAGACGAAAGTGTAACTTCCAAGAAAATGATTGGCGCATAAACTGCATCCAGTTCCAACGTAAGTGAAATGATTTCCCGGTGATAGCTGATGAACGCAGCGAAGTCTGCTTGAAATTGTGGGTCAGCCATTTGTAGTTGTACAAGATGTTCCAGCTTTAGCCGCATAATTTGCAAGTGAGCCGAAATGTTATAGACGAACCAACCGAATAGGCCATCGACAATGCAAATGGCATTCATGCAGAAGAATACGAGCAACACGCTGAGAATGACGGTTAGTATGTAATAGAAGGGTATGGTGTAATCGTAAGGGAACCTGATAAAGTGGCAAACATTAATATTCAAGATAATTTTGTTGTTCGATTTTTTACTAACATGCCGGGTAGTGGTAGTGTTAAAACTACATCGCTAAACCAAATATAGTAATAGATTAGTTTTAGTATTGGAAAAACTACAGAAAAGGTTATTGTCAGCTGACAAGAGATTCTATAAGCTCTGGTGATTGGGAGTACGATGCGATTCTTGTTATTCCATAATTCTCGCTCAGTTTGGTTGCCTAAATAAAGTGAAGGAAAACGAGAGTGAAATACTGGCAGTTACTATAAGTAATCCAAAAAGTAGGTAAGTACTTTCAACACTTGTTTTACAATAAAAAAAGTAAAAATATTCACCTCTCCATGCAAGTTGTTCTAAGGCTTCATTAAGGCGCAAAAATCGTTTGCGACGCCCTAGAAAAATAAAATTTTTCGCGGTCGTTACAAAAAGTTGTTCGTTAATTATCATTGCGGCAACCATTTTGTCGACATCATTTAAGTTTTCCTTAGTGTAAGTAATTAGTGCTATAGCACATGCGACGACGCCTATCATACAAGCCACATAACGTTCAGGATGGCTGAAGATACCTTGGCGTCCAGTTTGCCCACTGTTGAGCCCAATTTGGTTGAAGCCTTCAAATAAATCAAAAGTTTATATTTTTAAATAGCTTTTCTCATTTCCAGGTACTCGCCATCCATGATAGGTGTTATGTCCTTTAAGGTAGTTATCCTCATTGCGTTAAGAATCGCAATTCCTCTGTTTTTGATTGAAATTTTCTTAGTACTATGAAAATCACTTAGCATTGTTACTTTTTATACCAAAAAGTTTATACTCATAATTACACTAAACACTTGACTACCAAAAGGGTGAAGTTTTTAATTATAGACTAACGAAAAGTGTAANTATTTTTAAATAGATTTTCTCATTTTCAGGTACTCGCCATCCATGATAGGTGTTATGTCCTTCAAGGTAGTTATCCTCATTGCGTTAAGAATTGGAATGCCTCTGTTTTTGATTGAAATTTTCTTAGTACTATGAAAATCACTTAGCATTATTACTTTTTATACCAAAAAGTTTGCACTCATAATTACACTA